TAATATTAAAAAACTATATTATATATATATATATATATATATATATATACATATATGTATATATATATGTATATATATATGTATGTATATATATATATATATATATAATATTTTTGAGTAAATTCCATAATTAATCCTTTATAATAAGGTATTTTCCTTATTTGGTTCTCTATTATAAAATAATACACTCGTGATCCTTCTTTTATGTATGTCTTCCATAATTAGTTCTCTCTTTTTATTTTCAGTCATATTAGTGTTGATTTGAGGGTTAAATTTATAATTTCATAATAATCACGTATCTTTCTTGTACTCCCTCTGTCCCATTAAGATAGGAACATATTGACTAATGTGATAAAATAAAGAAGGGATAATTTTATGTTAATTTTCCAAAAACGCCCTTAATGTAATGGGGTAAAGTAGGATGTGATGTATAGATTATTAGGAAAAAGATATGAAGTGATAGGTAGGGTATGAAAAAGTAAGGGGTAAAAGTAATTTTTTAATAGAAATGGGAAGGACTTTTGGGGGCACGATTTTTTAAAAACGTGAAGGACTTTTTGGGACGGGGGAGTAATACATAGTGCAAGAGGTTGCTCCCGTCTGTGAATCGCATCCTTCGTCAGAACATGTTACTAGATATAGAGATAATATCAAATTATACTTTTAGCCATTAAACTAACACCAACATGACAGTACATAAAAAAAATTATTCGTGGAAAGGTACTCATAGAAAAAAGACAATGAAGGTAACATTTGATAATTGAGAACTAAATATGACAAATCTATTGTTATAAGAACCAATTATAGATTTTACTCTATAATTTTTTCATATCAAAGGTCAAAGGATACACACTTTGACTAAGAAAAGTCAAATATGAAGATTAAGTCGGGACGGAAGGAATACGTTTTATATTTGTTTTATTGATCGATGAAATGCACTATTAAAAAATTATTTCAAATTTTGATGTTAATTAAAAAATGTTATTTCGGCAAAATCCTAGGAGGGTTAGGGTGGGGGCCGAAGAGTTTGGATAGGAGGGTAAGACTCGACTCGATATCGATTTATTTTCGAATTTTTGTAACAACGCAGTTTAATAAGGACTTGAAATAAAAATAAATTTGTGATACAATCGTTTATCAATTTTATACGATCGTTGACTACTAAGTAACGTCTTTTATTATTAAAAAAACGTCTTTAGAAGTAAAAAAATAAAATGTGAAGAAAAATAACAACACATAAAGAATAAAGAAAGAGCTAGGGACTTTATAAAAATCAAATCAACTTACGTCCTTTTAAACCAAGGATGAGAGTGTCGTGTTGAGGGTCATCATTCTTAACCTCACATTCCAAATCATTCAAATCTTCATAGTTGTAATAAGCTGTCTCAGGGCAGGCGTACTCCATTATTATTGCCTTCATTTTATTCCTTACCTTCTTGCTTTATTGATGCTTTTTTTCTTTTTCTTTTTCTTTTTTTTTTTTTGCTTCTCTAAATTTTGAAGGCATTGTTTTAATTTGTTGCCTTCTCTATTTATAGGGGAAGAAATTAAATTATTCCCTACTCTATTTATAGGCAGTACTCCCATATTGCCTTCATTTTGTTCCTTAAAATTTTTAAATATAAATATGACAGAGAAAAGAAAAGAAAATGCTTTCTTTGATACCCCGGCCCATATACCTTGATTTATTTGCAAGTTTTCTTCAACATAGAGAATATGTTGTTATTGCATTTGGCAGGAGTAGAAAATAACTACGTATCGGAGTACTAGTTTTTAATCTCTTGTAAAAAAGTCTAAAGTTTTAATATTCTACTCCATATTAGTTTAGATTATTTTCTTGATAGTATAATAATTAAATACAGTAAGAAAAAAAATTGGAAAAGAAACAAAAAATATACATGCGTTTTTGTTTGTGCATAAATCTTTTTACACTTATTCTTACAAAATAAATGTAACTTTGAACGAGCATTTTCTCATACTTCAGTGGATTTCTTTTTTGGAAAAAAATCATTTGTTTTATGATATCAATGTACTAAAATTCATAAAACCAATATGAACCTTAGGATCATGGAAACATAATAAAAATATTAATAAAATAGTACTCCCTCTCTCCATACACATGCCATTTTCGTTTGTACATAAATGAGCTTTTTGTGTCTTTACCCCTGAACTTTTAAAAAATTATAAGAATTTACCTTGAACTTTAAAATTTGCACCGTGCCACATGAATTTTTAAAAATATTACGCCAATGGTCATTCTTTCCAGATTTGGGAGAACGTTAATCACACGCTCATCCAGTACAAGTATGAATTTATCTAAAATCAAATATCACACGTGAGTTCTGCAATATGTCTTTTTCATACATTATTTTCTACTCACTAGCTCCGTCCCTTGAAAAATGGAATGTTTTTATTTTGAAGAGATTTAATGGGAGTGTATTTTGGTATTGAATTTTCAAAAATGTCCTTTGATGTGATGAGTAAAGATAGGATTTGATGGATAGTTTATTAGTAAAAAGGTATGATGTGATAGGTAGGGTTTGAAAAAGTAAAGGATAAAAGTGACTTTTTAATAGAAATAAGAAGTGTTTTTTGGGACAGATGAAAAAAGAAAGAAGAAAAGTTTTCAGGGCCAGATGGAGTATATTTTTATCCTCTTTAAACCCTAGATGATTATTCTCGATTTAGAGCTTGTTCTTTAGGACTGGAAAAAAAGAGCTAGATGTTGGAAGAAACTTGAAGGAGCTGGAAAAAGTTGGAAGAAACGAGAAGGAACTGAAAGTAACTAGAAGAAACTGGAAAAACTTCAAAAAATTGGAAAGCCTAAAAAAACTTTAAAAAAATATATTTTAGTGTGTTTTTATATTTTTCTCATTCTAATTCTTGCTGTTACTTTCTCCGTCTCTAATTTGATTACAAATTTAATTTGGGTTTACGAGGAGAAATATCTCATTTTTTGAAATATCTCACTTTTTGAAATCATTTTATTTACAAAGCGATATATCGATTAGAAATGAAAATTACATATTAAAAACTACGTCAAAAGTCCTACAAAACAAGAGGTGACATGAATATTTTATTTCATCAAATACTTAATTAAATCGCGTAAACAAACAAAAGTTATCGAGAGAAGAGAAAAGAATGTAATCAAATTGGGGACGGATGAAGTATAAATTATTATTATCATCATCATCATCATGTTATCTTAATGAATGGCTTTAGGATAATAAAATATATTGTTATTTTTCATACAAAAATAATACTTTTGCAAAAAAGATAACTATAAAATAAAGTTAACATAAATATTAAAATATTAAATTTTAAAAAGTTAATGCGGTTACGATGAACCTCAATTTAAATATGCAGTATTCATTATAAAATAATATATTTGTAATTATACTTTATATATTACCAGATTTTGTTTTAAATATCAGACATGTCACATAATATAATCAAACCTATTTTTTCTTTCGTGATTGACATTTTATTTTCATTGTAACTCATATTTTGGGAATAAAGACATAGAACTTTTATTTTTTTTACATTTTTTATGTTTTACTCCTATTTTAGTCTTTTTATCTAAACTATTTTGAATTCCAAATTTTTTTAATAAAAATTAGAAAAAAAAATTAAATTTTGAAATAAATAAAAATGAGAAAAAATTAAGTAATAAAGGGAAAGGTGAGAGTCTTATATAAAGTTAGATTAATAAAACATTCTATGTAACTATTTTATCCATAATTTTTTAATATAGTTTAAAATATTGATGTTTTCCTATTTTATCATGTAGATTAGTATACAAAAAAAATTCTTATTCAAATTACAAAGTTGAAGAAAAAATAATAATAAGTGTGAATCGTAAAAATAGTGAGATGGAAAAAATAATTTATAAACTATAGTTATGAACATAATAGTTGCAATAATAATAATTATCACATTAAAAATATATCATTTTTAGAGTAATTGGTTGGGGAGTAGAAAGAGTTTGAAGAAAATGAGAATAGTTAGAAAAAACTGGAAGGAACTAGAAGAAACTGGAAAAAATGGAAGGAACTGGATGAAATTAGAAGAACTGGAAGAAACTGAAAGTTAAGAGTTTAAGACCTAGAGAATAGACTCCTATCTGTAACCAAATTTGAAGGCCTAACATCAGTCGATAATTCTCGTCATCAATTAATCAACCTCTTCATAGATCCATGATATCTTCATCAAGTTTCAACACATATATTGATGAGTGTGTAATTAACGCACTATCAAATCTGGCACAGAGGGACTATAGGTGCAATATTTTTAAAAGTTCACGGGACATTGGTGCAATTTTTTAAGTTCAAGGTGAATTCTTGTAAGTTTCAAAAAGTTCAAGAGTAAATGGTGTAAAAAAACTTGCACAGAAATCTTTTTTTACCTATTCTTACGAAAAAATAAAATGTGATGGATACCCTTGAATGGGGGTATCCGGTCCAATAGAAAATCGGCCCAACCCAACCATGCCTAGGCCCATCTAGCTGGGCAAAGACGGAAGGAAACTGAAGTCTCAAGAAGGCCACTCTTGCACCAAGTCATGCTCAGCCCCGGCAGACTTAGTCGGCCTCGGACCACCCTCGGCTGGCCTTTCATCAAGGGACTTCAGGAAGCAGATCATGCATACTCGGCCTCGGCCCGAGGCGTCAGCGGACCAAGACCATAGACATGGGAGCTGCCTAATCAGTCAAGGTCAAGGGGCCCACGATTGGACCCCTGTCACACCTCTGGCAAAGTTGTTTTAGCCACCCTATTTCTAACCTAATTTGTATAGCCGCCCTAGAAATAATGATGTGGTTAGGCACCGCCGGTGAACAACCAAATCTAAGTGGGCCCCGATCCGTTGGGCTCTGGATGACCGGTCGCGAACCCCATTTGTAGTTTGTATATAAACCCTTTTCTTGAGAGAAAGGGGGAGACACGTTTTTCGATTTATTCACTGATACTTACGAACTAACTTGATTCCCAACTTGTGCACTCTCGACTCAGTTCGATACTCTTTCGTCTAGTCTCCTAGGACCCAGGTTCCATAACCCAACATTGGTGCTCTCATTGAGAGTGTCGGACACATCAAGCGTGCTCCAAGAATGGCTAGATCAAGAAGAGTGACCACGTCATCCGCCGCCAACGCCGGTGGCGGCCTCCGGATGACCTTCACAACGCCAATCGGCGCGTGTCAAGACGATCTGGACGTCAGCATTAACGACGTTACTAGCCAAAACACCACTGACCTCCGTCATCGCATTCCTAGGCGGCGAGCGGCGAACGTTGGAGGATCTCAAGAACCCACCCAACAGGTGCCGGTTCAGAGCGCCGGCGTACTGACCCAGCCCCCTAATGGACTCGTACGTAAGGGAGGCATGGTGCTGCCTAGTGACTTCAGCTCACCACTTTTCCAATTCGATGAGACCTCTGGCGTGAGGGCTCCTGGCGTGGACCCTAGTGGGTTTTGGGCAATGATGAGGGCGATGATATTCAACCAGCCCATGACTGGCTTCCAAGTATCGATCTCAGTGCCACAGCCAACGTTCCAGCCTGAGGGACGCCGCGAGGGCCTGCAAAACGTTGCGGAAAACACGAAGCTTTTTGCCCACCATTTGAAAGGTTTGATGACAGACTCCCGTCTGGGTCCTTTGACGGGAGAGCACGACAAGAAAGAGTCGAGCTGTTCCAAGCAGCGGGACAACGGTAAGGTCCTAGAACGACGGGTGAACAAGAAGCAAACCAGCCGTCGAGATAGGGACACGGCGAGTAAGCACCGTGAACCCCTGAAGGTAGGACAAGATGAAAGCGAGTCACATGTATCCATGTTTAGCCGGATGTGGGTGCCGGCAACGGACAGATTGCATGGCCGACGGAATGCTTTCACACAAGATGGGGCGGGGAAGACACAGATGCTTTGTGAAGAACGGTGTGAACGTCACCGAGAAGCTCAGCCCGACAGAATTGTTACAAATATACAAATTAGTTATTATCCCATTGTTTAATCCTACTCCTTAAATTGTCGTAAGTGTGTGACCCGTATAGGCCCTTATAAAGCTGGCCATATTATTGGCTCTGCACCAATACTATAAACAATAAGTGGTATCTAGCAACACATTATTGCCCCTAGATTATAAGTTAAGACGTTTGCACCGTCAAAACCTTTCCACGACTCAAACTCCGTGTAACTGTATCCCTTTGTCTCAATGTCTAGACTTAATGCAAGGGATTAATAAAATCCAACTTGTATCCATTGAGTCATTCACTAATTTATCAAGTCTGACTGATAGGAACATACTAGAAATGATGTTTCTGCTCATACTAGGTACAAACAGACAATTATTTAACTACAGTACTGTTAAAATAAGTGCCTTTCACTAGAGGGGGGGGGGGGGATAAATAGTGAGGCACAAGAATGTTTATATATTTTCACGGAATAAAAATCTCAGGAATAAAGTAAAGAGCGGAATAAAAAAGCGTAAGGAAAGAACACACCAATTTTACCCTGGTTCACCACAACGTGTGGCTAGTCCAGCCTCCCGAGAGACTCTCTCGAGCTACACTACTTCCGTTAATCTTACGGGTGCTTAACAAACCGTTACAACCTGAGAACTCGAGTCCCACGAGCATCAATACACTTGCTCGGAGATACCGCACTCCAAGACTTCAACTCGAAGGAATATGCCCTTCCTTCGTACAACCAAGGGAACAAACCTCCCTTAACCACTCAAGAACAAAAACTCTCTTAAAGAGTAGAATATGAGTAAACTAATTTAGATCAAGAACACACTCAATTCCTCAAGAAATGGCTCTAAAAAGTTATATAAAAAGTTTATGGAATGATGCAATTTAAAGCTATGAAATGTGTGAGGAATGGATGTTAAAAGTAGACCCAAAAGACCCCTATTTATACCCAAAAATGATGTGTAACGGATGGGAGTTGATTGGTGTTTAATGGCATGATTTGTGGAAATCAAATAAAAGTGGATCTACTGAAATCTGGCCTAACATCGATGTTCATAAAGTGAACATTGCTGTTTTGGCTTTGACTTTCCTTTAAAAATGGCTAACGATCACCAAAACATCGATTTCTAGAAGTCTACATCGATGTTGGGGTGTTTGACTTTCAAAAATGGAAATATTTTGTCTTAAATAGCTCACCGGTCATTTGAAAACATCGCTGTTCAACAATGAACATCGCTGTTCAAAAACCTACTGCCCAGAACTTCTGAATGCCAACATCGATGTTGGGAATTCCTACATGCATGTTGGAATGGTTCGCCAGAACCATGGTTTGGCTGCCAACGCCGAAAACCGATGTCAAAAACCAAAGTTCTCCAAAATGAAAACCAAGTGTTGGAAACTCTTATATAATGTATTTTATGTAGAAAGCAAGTATACAAACTTAAAAACCACTTCATTTAGGTAAAAACCACGGCTAGCCAAGTTTATGTTGTTTCACATGGTTTTCACCAAAAGACCAAAAACGAAAGGTGGTTTTTAACATGTTTTTGTTGGAGAACTATTTGGATATGCCCAGAAGTAAAAACCAATCATAAAATCTTAAAAAACACTTGATTGATTTGGGCGCCAAAAACCAACGCCGATAACTAGCACCCAATGCCGATAACCAACGCTGAAAAACAGAGGTTATGGTTTTTGAAAACTAATCATTTGGAAAACCTTTAAATGTGTCCAGAAGCATAAACCAAAGATAAAAACCCAAAAACCATTTGGTTAAAATCAATGCCAATAACCAATGCCGAAAACCGAACGCCATAGCCGAACGCCGATAACCGATGGTTATGGTTTTGGTTAAGCAAGAACCATGGGTTTTAGAACCATGACGTAGAGAAATTGAATGAGTTTGTTACAATAACGACCCAAGTCTTTAGAAAATATCTTCAAAGCGCCAATGTCGCCATCTTTAGCAACGTCAATGCCTTTCTTGTGCTTTTTGTTTCTTCAAAGAACTTTTTCTATCTCTTTGAATCTTTTCATTTTGTTCCATGTTCCCGACGGTTTGTCAATATCAAAACCTAAATGGAAACAAACATTGTCATTAGCAAAACGTCAAAATGAAAGTGTTTTCCAACAAGTACAAGACCACTAGGTAGAGATAAACTATAGATTCTGGCGGCTAATGCATTTACGAGTGCGCCATTGCCGACTTTTAGTTGTATCTCTCCCTCCGTCAATTGTCTACGTTCATGCAGATCCTGCAAAGAAGTACAGATGTGAGAACCACATCCAGTATCCATCACCCAAGAGGTGATATAAGACATATTTACTTCAATAACGAAGATATCTGAGGTTCGAGGTTTCTTTCCCTCTTTCCTCTATGCTAGTAATTTTGCGCAGTTGCGCCTCCATTGGCCCTTTTTGCCACAATAATAGCATAAGTAGACTTCTTCTTAGCTCCTTCTTTGGGTTTCAACGAAGAGGAGTTGGACGCTGGCTTGGGTTTCTTAGAACCCTTGCGCTTGGTCCCGGCCGGCGAACGTGGCCCACTCTTCTTCGCAACAGTACTGCCCTCTACCATCAAAACAGACTTACCCTTGCCCTTCCCTAGACTCTCCTCAGCAGTTGTGAGGAATTTCAGTAGCTCACGCATAGTCATCTCTAGTTTGTTCATGTAGAAGTTCACTATAGTTTGACTATACTCAGCTGGTAATGATCCCAAGATGAGATCAGTTGCCAGCATAGGGTGCAACAGGGCGTCTAGTTTTTCAAGAGTTTCGATCTGACCGATCATCTTGAGAACATGGGGACCAACTGGGTTACCCGTTGCCAGCTTACTGAAAACATAGTCGTAGAGATTTTGAAACGCTCATGTCTAGCCTGGCTTTGGTATAGACCTATCAAGCGAGTCATCATAGGATAAGCTTCCATGTCCTTGTGGAGCCTTTGGAGCTCCGGGGTCATGGTGGCTAGCATGACACATCTCACATTGCCTGCGTCATCTTCATACTTTCAGTACGAAGTAATTTTTGCAGCATGGGCGTTCGCTTCAGGAGCTTTGGGGGCTCAGAGGTAAGGACGTAGAGCTTTTCTCGCATTAGAGAACAATCTTAAGATTCATCTTCCAATCAAGAATGTTAGTTCAAGATAATTTTTCCTTTTCCAGAACATATCGCATGTTGAAAGGGTTGTTGTTTGCCATCTACAGAAAATTTTACAAACTATGTTATCTATCATGTTTAATAATTAATTAGGCCTTTAATTAATTACCTCTCACTATTTTTAACAAAATCAATAACCCTCGATATTGATTCGGAGATTTCCGACGAAACCTCTAGTGGGCCAAGATCCATATTTCATTATCTTGCGTTCCGCTTGGGCGTTACTCCACAAGACAACTATTTAGGTAGGAACATAGTTCCAACTGATGAGCCGGGCTCTCAGCTCTTGGTCTGGTGTTGGGCGAACAATATTACTACAACTGGACCAGGACACCTTTTCAGCATACTTGTAATTGGCTGAGGCACGTCTTACAAGCAAACTACTTTGGTTAGGAACGGAGTTCCAATTAAATCATAAAGATCCAACTCCTCGCTGGATGGGTGAGTAAAATCATCCGACTTGTCATTGATGACCCCAACTTACTGCCTCTGAGTCATCCATTTATTTGATCGAGACGCAGTTAAGTCCAACCCAACGTGCGACTACGACCACGCTATGGCGGTTCCCGTAACCAGCTTAACATACACCGTACTATGCTCTACTGAGGCTGAGTACATGACAGTGCACATTAGCCGGATAGGTGCCGGGCGTTAGAAGGCAACAGACTTAATATTCGTGAGGGATTTATAATTTCGATCTCACCTATCGACATGGCCGCGCACATGTCCATTACTAGCGTTCAACATACATTCAACATGCATTCACAAAACGCAGTAAATAAATGTGTAATGATTGTAGCTCCTAAAAGAAAAATAAAACGATAGCTCTCACTGGCTTCCGGGCACTTGGATTTCGGGCTATCTCCATTCCTTTATATTTCTTCAAAACGGACTTCAAATCTTTTTGTCTTCAAACCAACACGTGTGAAAAGAATCCTCAGTTGAGGTAAGAGAGATAAATAGATTTACAACAAGAGTTTAAGAGATAAGGCACGACACGCAGGCCATATTATAATTAAATAAACTATAGCCACAATTATCCACCATGCATATCATACATTCACACAGGCAATAGAGATATACATACACCGGTGAGCCGCGCTCACCCCAGACAGTCCTAGAGAAATACTACGGCAGTAAATATTTTCTAAAACTCATAAAATTAAATTTGATGTCCAAAATAAATCTAATAAAATTTTATAAAAATCATTTTATATACTCTTGAATATTCCAAATGACCAAAATGCCCTTTTTGCAAAAGTGTTTTTGAAAAAGGCAATTTAATTCCAAAAACAATTTTGAAAAATTATGAAATATAAATTTCAACTTCCAGTAATTATTTTCAACATTTATAAACCTGGAAATAAAATTTCCAAAATTTATAAATCATTATTTCCAAAATATATAAGTTAAATCTCAATAAGTTATAAAAAGCCATTTAAATTATTTTCGAAAACATTAAATTATAAAAATTTAATATTTTGAAAAATAATTCCTTTTCTTACTGAGATATAACTTTCAAAAATATATATTAGTCATTTATGTAATTTAAATACAAATATATAAATATATATAATATTTCGGTAATAATACCGAGTACATATATAAATATATATTTATTTAATTACTAACTAATATTATTTTGTACAATATATTTATCAAAAAACCTTATTTAAATTAGAAATAATATTTCCAAGTTTAATAAAGTTCATTTTGAATTTTCCCATATTTATTTTCGGTTTTCACCTAAATAAATACAATAAATTCAAAATAGGAAATAATACATTCAAAAATTATAATATTATTTTATCAATCATAAAATAATGTTTTATGTCCAAATAAAATTATATTTACTATTTCTACAATATATATAAGTATATATTTCGAAAAATCAAAATATATATATTTATATATATACATAGATATTACGGGTAGAAACAAAATAAATAAATTTAAAATTCATTTTCAATGATTTATTTAAGTCCAATACTTATTCCAAGACTAAATTAAATCATTTTACTAATTTTTGAATTTTAATAATTACCAAGTTAAAACTTTGACTTTTAAATTTAAAAAGTCAAACTTAAAACTATAGTTTTGTACGTTGGCTTTGATACCACTGAAAGGTAACCATGCAAGGATAGGCAGCGAGATATAAAAATTTTAACATCCTAACATGATTATCTTGCCTAGAATCACGTACTAAAACATATAGTAGTAAGAAATTTATACCTTTCTCCGTAAGCGGTAAAAATGAAGAAGTCGTAGGAAGAGCGTTGAAAGTGCAAACGTAACCGTTCAAGCGTCCGGTCTCCAACTTTGACACACGAACAACGCCGGAGTCTACCACAATCTTTATGCTAGTAAAGATTATAGTAGTATAAAATATAAAGATTAAAATTTGGGATAATAATAATCTTGTATATTTCTATAGAAAATATTTCTAATAATATTTAGAAAATATTATAGATATTTTCTATACACAAANATATAAAAATTTTAACATCCTAACATGATTATCTTGCCTAGAATCACGTACTAAAACATATAGTAGTAAGAAATTTATACCTTTCTCCGTAAGCGGTAAAAATGAAGAAGTCGTAGGAAGAGCGTTGAAAGTGCAAACGTAACCGTTCAAGCGTCCGGTCTCCAACTTTGACACACGAACAACGCCGGAGTCTACCACAATCTTTATGCTAGTAAAGATTATAGTAGTATAAAATATAAAGATTAAAATTTGGGATAATAATAATCTTGTATATTTCTATAGAAAATATTTCTAATAATATTTAGAAAATGTTATAGATATTTTCCATACACAAAATGATATTAATGGAACCCCAAAAATCACTTTCTCTCTATAGATATTCAATTAGCCTAATTTCTTTCTTAGCTCCCCTTGAAAATGGCATGTGAAATTTTAAGGAGATAAAGGGATGATACATTTGACATTGTCATTAACAAAATGACAAAATAAATAGCTCCACTAATTTCAATCAAAGAAATTTGATTCTTTAAAATCTTCACTTGGCCGTATGTTTTGATTTGAGAAGGATATTCAAAATTCTTCTCCTCTCAAATGTTCAAAGTGTATTTTATTGTGAAATTTGGACTGAATAGGACTAAAACAAAAGTCATTTCCCAATTTAGGACTTAAACTTTTATATTTCCTAAATATGTCTTAATAATGACTAGTGAAAACAATAATGTCCAAGTGATGCTGGACATTTAGTTGAATAATGACTAATAGATAATGAGAGCAAAATATATGCGAAATGGTGACATGGATTATCACTTGGTAGATTCACCAACCTGGAATCGAATCTGTAAGATTGACGAAAAAGCTAGCAATCACTGCAGTATTCATGATGACACTATGAGTTGGAATGAGGACATGGATTTTCACTCTCAAAAGTGCTTATGAGATCTACATATCCAAATCAAACCCTTCCTATGCATATAAATGTATCTGGGATTCTCATCACAACCTAAAGATCAGCATTTTCACCTGGAAAATCTTTCGTAACTGCCTCCCAATCCTAGAAAATTTACGTAAGATGGGTTTTGCTTTCATTTTTCTAGATGCCTTAATTTCCCACATGCTAAAACCCACTCCCTCATGCAACACTTCATGAACTAGTGGCTGCATAACACTTCAAATCTGCATGGTTTCCTGAGACTACACCTTCCTTCCATCACCACCTGGCACATTTGGAAGAAGTTGAATGACATTACCCATGGTGAGGCTGCTAAAATCCACACCCCTATTCTCATTCACCAAATTGCCCTCTACACCAAACAATGGATCTCCGTCAAAGCTCCACGTAAATTACAACTTCATGATCCATCACTTTCCCACCATCACTTGATCCCTTAATTTCAAAAACACAATCCCATCAGGATGGTTAAATGGAAATGGCCACCTAAATGTAGATGCCTCCTATACTCCCTCAAAACAGCGTGGTGCGGCAATACTCAGAGATCACGAAGGCACCTTTATTCGTGCAGCAACTTTCAACCTCACTTCTAATAGCTCTTATCAAGCTGAAATAGAAGCAGGCATTAAAGGTATACGGTGGGCTTTGCAATTCTCCTCCAGTTTCCTCTATGAAACGGATGCTTGGGCTATATGAAACAGTGCTCCTCTTCTTAACAAGCTAATCTCCCCTGAACAAGCTGGGTTCCAGAAAGGGAAAGGAATTGAGGAGCACATTCTTCTAACTAATGAACTCATGCATAAACTTGAATCAAAAGTTAGAGGAGGTAATGTAATGATTAAACTGGACATGGCCAAGGCCTTTGACAAAATGTCATGGAGCTACATAGGGGCTGTTCTTCAAGGTTTTGGTTTCACAGAAAAGTCCACTTCCCTACTTCTTCAAAACCTGAGGTCTACATACATGTCAGTTCTTGTCAATGGGAAACCATCAGGATTCTTCCAAATCAAGAGAGGAGTCAAACAAGGGGACCCCTTATCCCCTCTCCTCTTCATCTTGGGTTCTGAGGGTTTTTCCAGGAGCCTAGAACATGCAATTAATATTGGTTACATAGCTCCTTATAAGGCTGGCAGGAGTATGGTTGTTTCTCATTTGGCCTTTGCAGATGACCTGATTGTGTTTCTCAAAGGAGATTTCAGGAACCTACTGAGATTCAAACACATTCTAAATAACTATCTCACAGCCT